AGAATAAAAGAGGCCAGAAATAAACCTGTGCATATACGGACAATCAATTTATGACAAAGGAGCTAAGAACATATAATGGGAGAAAGGACAATCTATTCAATAAATGGAGCTAGGAAAACTGGACTGCCACATGTAGAAGAATGAAACTAAACCACTATCTTACACCATATCAAAAATTAACTGAAAATGGATTAAGGACTTGAATCTAAGACCTGAAATCATAAAATTACTAAAAAAAAAAAAAAAAGCCATAGGCGGTAAGCTCCTTGACAAGCTCCTTGTCTTACCTATGTTTTTTTGGATAGGACTCCAAAGGCAAGAGAAGCAAAAGCAAAAATAAACAAAATGATTGTATCAAACTAAAAAACTTCTGTATGGCAAAGGAAACCATCAACAAAACAAAAAGACAACCTACTGAATGGAGAAGATATTTGCAAATCATATGTCTGATAAGGGGTTAATATCCAAAATATGCAAGGAACTCACACAACACAACACCATAAAAACAAGCGACCCAATTAAAAAATGGGCAGAAGATCTAAACAGACATTTTTCCCAAGAAGACATACAGATGGCCAACATGCACAAGAAAATATGTTCAACATCACTAATTAGCAGGATATGCAAATCAAAACCACAATGAGACATCGCTTCACACCTGTTAGGATGGCTATTATCAAAAAGTCAATAAATAACAAGTGTTGGATAGAATGTGAGAAAAGAGAACCATCCTTCTTACACTCTTGGCAAGAATGCAAACTGGTGTAGCCACTATGGAAAACTGTATGAAGATTCCTCAAAAAATTAAGAATAGAACTACCATATGACCCAGCTATTTTACTTCTGGGTGTGTATCTGAAGGATACAAAAACACTAATTCAAACAGAGAGATGCACCCCTATGTTCACTGCAGCATTATTTACAATAGCTGAGATATGGTAACAACCTAAATGCTCATAGATGGATTAATAGATGAAGAAGAGGTGGTACATACATGCAATGGAATACTACTCAGCTCTAAAAAAGAAGGAAACTTGTCATTTGCAACTACATGGATAGAACTAGAGGATATTATGCAAAATGAAATAAGTAACACAGAGAAAGACAAATATATGGTTTCACTTATATGAGGAATCTAAAAAAAACCCAGACAAAACAAAACACAAATTCACAGATACAGAAAATAGCTTGGTGGCTGTCAGAGGGAATGGGCACTGGGAAGAGGGAGAAATGGGTGAGAGAGACCAATTAATTGTATGGTGATGGATGGTAACATGACTTATAGTGGTGAACACTATGTAGTGTATACAAATATCAAATTATAATGGTGTATTTCTGAACTATGTATATAATCTTGTGTACCAATTTTACCCCACAATAATAATAAGAAAAAAAAGAGTGAGGTTGGTTTTCAAAAGCCAGCAAGCAGTCTATGTGCTCATTGGTACTTTGCTCCCTGATTCTTAATCAGTGTAATGTTGACCCAGCTATCTGCTAATAATCACAAAAATTACATATAATTACCATTTGTTGTATGTTCACACAATAAAAATTAAGAGATCTTTTGCCTTCATACTAGTCTGTATCTGTATGAAGTCTAACTGGGCTTAGAACTATTTATCAGTATTTTGAGGAAATAAGAACAACAGATGACAATATTTTCAAAGAATATTGAAAAATTTTCTAAATATTATATAGCAATTTGCCAAAAATCATTAAAAGTAAGCTTTAATAAGATATTTTATATGCTATTTTATGGTTTTTGTTATATAAAATCCCTGAATTTTCATAAGCTAAATGTTAAAATACTTCTGACATGTGATTAAATGGGCAAATTAAAGAAACTAAATAATTTGGAAATGGGTATAGTACAAACTAAATCTGACCACAAGATTCACTGGATTTCTTAAAATCAATTTTGTTAAATTAGTTATTGAACTGAACTACTCAAATATTTGATTTCAGATTCATTCAAGCTAACAACTACATTTATAAAATTATTCTATTTCTTTATGCAAGGCATTTTGCCTTCGATTTCCCTAGATTCCTTAACTGCACATCTAGAAATTTAATAACACAATGTATTCTGTAATAAATTAATAAAAGAAAACTTGACTCCATAATCACCCTGGCAAAGAGAGGTTCTAAGCCATTTGGAGCAGTGGTTGGACGAAATCTTCTCCTTCTCCATGTTTCAGGTCTATTTTCCCGTACGATTTTTCCATGGCGGGGAGGAGGTGAAGGAGGAATAGGTATGTAGCTGTTAAGAAGTTGGTATCGATTCATTCCCTGTGAATTGTCCATAGAGTTCCTGAACTTCATCACTGCCTTCTTGCCCTGTAATCACATTTCACATCTTAAGAACCACTGAAACAGAAGTAGTAACCCAACGTAATACAAAATTAAAGACAAGACTGTATGATTGACATTGCATGCAGACACAACTGGTTATCAGTAGGCAAACTCAACACATTCCAGTCTGTCGAAAAATGGCATTTTGTAGCATCCATAGCAAATTAAATTTTCGTGAATTTCTAACCTTAAGAATGTTTTAAACAAAATATACAGTGATGGCATTTTTATAGTACTTCCGGGATTTTTCCTCAACAATCCACTAAATCTTTGGGAAGCCAGTATAATTAAAAATTTAGAATCAAGAAGTTTGAAGTGTTTACTTTGAAGCAGGATTGGATAGTACACTTAACAATGGGGTGTTAGCACTGTTTTTCATATTAGTTTTGTCCATACAGGTGTTATAATATTCCTTGATAATATAATATCAAGGTACCAAACACAGACACTGAACCATAGACTTTATTTAGCTTTTTTTCGCCTAGAAATTTAACATGTAGGAATGAAACCTACCAAGATAACTACACAAGTACACTGATGTAAATGTATAAAGACACATACACACACACACACACACACAGACACATATGCACAACAAATTTAGTTGAACCATCAAGTCCATAAATAGGAGAATGTTTAATTAAATTTTGTTTTGTTCTTATAATAGATTCTTACCAGGCTTCACAAAGAATAGTGTGAAATTATTCATCCTGATGTAAAAAGATCCATGTTGCATAATCACACATTTCTTTTAAATAACTTACATATGGATTTTGATAAAACCAGGGATGACTAGAAGACTTCGCACATGAGGTTGCAATGGGAATTTAGATTATTGGGGGGATATCATTTTGCATTTTATATATCTTCATATTATTTGAAAGTTTAATCAGCATGCATTACCTTAGTGATTAAAAAGCACCGAAGTTAAAATCAATAGTTATTTACGTTTTTCAGGTATATTTGAGTTTGAATTTTCACAAATTGATCATTTTTGTGTATCTGAGGTAGTTTTCCAAACTTTAAAGCATCTTTAATCATTTTTATCCAGTTTATATCAATTTACTCGGTATGGAATTTTAAATTCATTTTCAGCCAATTTATTCTTTATTTTGAGATGCTTACATAGTGAAAAGTTATTTTTAAAAAAAGGAAGCCATTCTCCAAACATTTCTTATTGTAAATAGTAAAAGCAGGTCAAATAAAAGCAGGTATTGGTCATATTTTGATGAAAGACAACACTTATGTGAACAGAGGGATTTAAAT